GAACTGACGCAATGATTTATATGAAAGTAAGTTTTGTGCCCTGATCTTTAAGGGTGGTCGCAGTGCCCCATAGGAGCAAATGCGTAAACTAGCCCGTATGCAGACGTGCGGATTGGTTGCCTATTCGCGCGGGCCGTATGGTGCCTTGACTTGAGACAATAGGCAAACATGGCAAACATGTGCGCACATGTGGGCTAGTATTTGCGCCAATGAGGCTCAGTGATCACCCGCTTGTAAAGCTTCACAATGGCAAATTTTCCTGATTCGCTTTTTAAAAAATACTTTTATTTTTACCAGGCATTATCAAATGAAGCCAATGAACTTTTACCAGTCTTCAACAAAGCATCAAGCAAATTTTATCGCACAGTCATCCCAACAAATGACTGGAGTCATGGCTCATCACTTGGTGTTCGACATTTAACCACACGAAATGCATTCATGCGCGAAAGGATGAGTTAACCTATTTCTTTTATTCTACTGAAATTGTTGTTGACACCAGTACTCGACAATGGACTATACAGCTGTCTGTCCAACAGCATTTAGAACTAAACTGTATCTATTAGAGAAAAAATAACTGAATTTATCATATCTGCTCTTGACCTGCCTGCTGTTGGCTAGAACCATATCTGTTTCGTCATTTGCTCAATAGGGCCAAACCCCAGAACAGAAGCACCACCCACAGATCCAGACATGCATTTTTAAGTGACCAATTTCTCTTTTCTGTCAGTTCAGTATGATTTTGTATGTTTAGACAAGCTGACTATGTTATTGTCGGGTTTGTGTGTCTCACCTAAGCCTCTGTGATAAATCTGTTCAAATGCATTGTTGATGTATTTTGTTTGAAGGTTATTGTGTTATTTTAATGTAATGATTGTAAGGATAAATGTAATTGATAGAAGGGTTGGGCATCCCCTTTAATTTTATAGTTGTTGACTTTGAATGGAAGAGCATATCTCATTTTATTTTCCTGTTGGAGAATTGAGTTACAGTCGTTGGAAATGAAATTTGGATCAAGAATCCAAAATATGAATAGAAAAATAGTATCATGTGACTTTTTTATGTGAAGGCTGTGCCAATTATTGATGGTTGCTGAGAGTTGAGTATGCAAATATACACTGAAAATTGTGGTTTAGTATTTTAACGCCCGGTATTGTGAGATCTTCAAATCTTCCAAACGCACATCCTTTCAATAAAATTATTCAGACATCTTTTTAAACAGTTTATGCTTTGTTTTCATGAATAATCCAAAATGCAAGATATTAACAGGTGTAAACAACTGTATATGGTTGTTGTGCTTTTTTATTTCTGTACATTGTTGAACAATATCCCTCTACAAAATGAATACTGTACTCATTAGTGCTAATATGCTTATGCTTGTGTGATGTCTTATAAGTAAGTTGACTTGAAGTTTAGTTTGCTCATGTGCAAATAGCACATTAAGAATTTCCATTTTTGGTTTTCTAGTCCTTTTATTTAATTATCTGGCCATTATTGACAAAACTTGGGTTTAGTGAAGTGTCTGAGGGACTATGTGTTGCAATCTTAGAGGAGTGAATTTATTTCCAAGAGATACCATGTCCAAAATTTTGAGGGAAAGCTTTTCAAGCTGATTCATGGGAATTGTATCCAAACAGAGCAGTAATGATATTTTTATAGGAATAGCAATATTTATGGTCGTCAAGTTATGTATCATAATACTATTTTATGTATGAAAACAACCTTTTTCTCAACTTAAAATAGTGATGCTTAGTGATTGAAATTTTCTTGTTTGGCAATATGCTTCAGAAATTATACTTGTTACATTGTATCTCGGCTATCAAAGACTCTGAAGTATTTTAAACAAGTAGATAATTACCATATGTTAAAATTGCAATCTCTAAATATCTTCTTTGAATTTTATTCTCAGCATCGTGAATCTCATTCTGTGCTCTGTATTAATTGTCTAATTCCTCCAAGACTTAACTTTTGGGACAACAACATGACAAAAACTGCAGATTTTTTTGAAGTCCCACTTCTGACATGAATGTACAATAAACTATATTTTAGTAATGTGAATATGTTGTTCCTGGCATCATTTAATTTCACCTTAAATTGAATTGGTTTGGGTGCCTAAAATATGCTGCATATCCTCGGACTCAAATCATGGGACTATCATGGGACTTCAAAACAGGACAGCATAGCTGCTGTAAAATGCAGTGCTGCAGCGGTATGAATAGATCAAGGAAGTTCACAGGACTATACAAGTTTAAAACCAAGGGGATTTTGTGCAAATAATTTTAATATTCAAAAGGAAAAGACACAACAATGTTTGCACCTAAACAAAGGCAGCATACAGTACAGATATTTATAAAGGCGAATTAGTGATCCATAAAGTTGTGATCTAATGTTCAACGGTTTCTAAAAAACATTACTGTGCAGATTCAAACGTCTGTCAACGCCGGATGAAATAATAGCCTACGGAAGGTGGGGAGCTCTCTAAGAAGCCTCCTCCATTCATTGTGGATTAGAGCAACTATTGGGACATACTCCCTTACATTTATATAATTTAAATAAGATGCTTACTGTTTTGAAACCAGAAAGGCGTGTGTGCACCGTCTGGGCTAAAGCTGCATTGCCTCAACACAACAGAGCGAGTGGCGGGAACACATCAAGAGATGCCTTTTCTGGCCGGCGGTATTATTATTAATAATTAACTCGAATCGTAAATCCCTCGGCAAAGACACAAGGTATGGGGATTTTAAAGAAAAGAAAAGAAGCTGTCGGCATCGCCACAGGCGAATCGAACTAACGGACCACTTCAAAACAACGCCGATGATCGGACCTCGGTTGAGAGACGGTCAGACCCGACGAGTGACGCGGGAAGTCGCGGCCACGGCTCTGACCTGAGTTGACCTCGGGTGGTATACAGAAGTCAAGACCATGTCATCAGTTTGACAGTTTTTGACAAAATATGACGCGCCTCGATTGGGCAGATTCAAGTCATTCTGGAAATGGGCCAATGACTTGATCTTGACTTCTGTGCTCCAGCCTGCACCCCTTGCCGTGGGCTCGGCCCGTTTGACGGTGGGCGTCGCGCCTAGGTCCACTTCCTCTTGTACTTGAGGGCGGGCAGGTAGGTCTGCGTGAGCGGCACGCTGCGCTCGTGCGTGAAGCCGGACCGGTACCACGACTTGGGCGCCGTGATCATGAGGATGCCGTCGGACGAGAGGTTGGCGGTGACGCGGCCGGGGTTCACGTTGTCCGGCAGGTGGTAGCGGCGCACGAACAGGCGCTTGGTGTAGCCGCCGGTCGCGTTGTCGGCCCGCTCCTCGTGCTTGCCCTCCACCGTCAGGTAGTTGTTCTCCGCCTTCACCTTCACCTCGCTGGGGCGGAACGGCCCCACGTCAAGGTTCACCTGTTGGGGACAAGTGCAGAGGATGGGGTTGGGCGAGCGAGCAGGGGCGGGAGCGGGTGGTAGGCCGCCCGCCCGCCCAGCGCGACCGTCGGCGGCCCACCCGCCGCCGGGCGGGCGGGGGGGTAGTCCACCCTCTCAACTGGCGCGCCGGCGGGTGGCCTATCCGCACCTCGTCGGGCGGCCCGCTCACGGTACCCGGTATACCCACCATGTAGTTCTCCTTGTCCTCGGTGAACTCGGACAGCCCGTTGAGCGCGGCCTCGTACTGGCGCCAGGGCCGCATCCAGTAGGACCTGTCGCGGTCGTACCAGTGCCAGTCGTCCTTGATCGGGCGGTCCAGCAGGTCCCAGGTGGAGGCGCGGCGGAAGGGCCTCCAGTTGTCCAGCTCGGTGCTGAGCGCGGGGACGAGCGACATCTGCGGGTGCAAAGGACACGGGCCATTGAGTCATTGTGATGGCGCATTACTGGGATTCTGCGCAGCGAGAGCCCTCCCTGCGTCCGGTGCAAAGAGCCCAAAGCCAGCGGTCCAGCTGCGGACACATTTTGGGAGGGTAACGAGGGAAATCTCCATGTTTATGGCATCACCGGCGTCCCGCTGTGCTGCCCAATCAACCGCCGCGGACAATTACGGCCAAACAATATCTCCCCGCCCGCCCCGCCCCGCCCCGCCCCGCAATTCCGCGCGCCACGCTCGCGTAGCCTGTGATGTGAGGCATGGCCTTGTGCATAATCCACCGTAGTACCTACCGCCATGGGCCGCGGGCCGCCATGGGCAGAGCGCGCGGGAGCTGCTCCCACTGACTCCACACGGTCAAAACGTATTCGCCGCGACTCGGTCACTTGTTGCTCCGACTTTACTAGTCTGACGCGGGGGCGGAGGAAATTGTTTGAAGAGACGGTGCTTACTTTGGGAGGTGGATTTCTTGGACCATCGCGGTGCCGGGGAGGGGAAGGGGGGCGAGGACGAGGGAGGGTGAAAACAAACGCACATCCCAAATAGTCATTTTTCGTGCACTTGATTGATTTCCTTTGATGTATTGCGCTTGCTTTGAGTAGAATGCTTTCAGCACAAGGGCAGTATTCTCCAGAAAATCAAGTATACTAGAATCAAGACCAACACATTTTTGGGGGGGGAGCACGGCAGGATGCGGGTCGACTCGCTCGCGTTCTGTCTTGGGACGTCCGACTTCCGGTGTGGGTGGGTCCCTCTCGGTCCCTCCACCGCGGGGTGACCGCGGCGTCGTGGCCGTGGACTGCCGAGGGTGGGGTCCTCGTCGGTCCCTGCCCACTCGTTTCGTTTCAGAGGACCCGCCTTCCACGATTCCCCGTGCCCTTTTCCGCTGAACCCCGGCCTGCTGGGCAGGGCCGACGGCCGAACCAGGCCGTCCTTCACACACACTCACACAGCTGAGTTCTTAAACCAAGTGCATTGTACTTGATCCTTGAGTTTTTCAGGTGAATATGTCTTGATTCAAGTGACATGTACTTGAAAAATCAAGGGTCAAGCACAATGCGCTTGGTTTAAAAACTCAGTTTTTGGGGTGCAGAAGCAACAGAAGAACTAACTTGACTTTAGTCTTGGTATTCGTCGAGTACCCAGTGAGAAATTGTGATATCGGAACGATATCAGATCGAAAATTGTCGATTTTCGTGTCGAACATTTCTCAGTGGAAAAATGCGTGTTTGATTATAGAGAAAGATCGACATCGAAGGAAAGTCTGTGTGCTTATTCCGATCTTTTTGTCTACTTTTCTGAACTAATTTACCTGCCGTACCTTGTAGCACACGGCTCTCAAACGGAATTACGCTCAAATTTGCTCGAAACGATTATACTTTAAAATGTATTGCTGCTAATGTACTACATCCACAAAGGTAGTGGACTACCGACTTCATGCTCCGCCGTTCTACTCTTTGCTGCGATGACAAGACCGACTTCATCAGCAAACTTCATTTTTCCGACAATTTTCATATTTTGTGAAGATGTAAGGTGCAAACTACAGAGTACATACAAAGTCTCTCAAATATAAAGAAAACTCAAAAACAATTTGAGTGACAAAACAAAATAGGGAGTATCAGAATTATACTATGCAACTTTTAGTTTTAAGGGAAATCCATATTTAGACTCGATACGAAAGGCCAACTGCACAAAAATAAGTTCACTTTCACTATCACCAAATGTTGAGAAAAACTTGAAAAACACATTTCAAAACTACTTGTTCAATTTTCGCGAGCTTCTTAGATGCACAACACACTTCTCTCTAGTTTCACGAAGGTCTTGCACTGCACTGCCCTGAACTAGGGCGCGGGGCTCTCACCTTGAAGTTGTTGGACTGAAGTCAAACGATGCAGTCGAAATCGTCAAACAACTGTGTTCGGTGATAGCCGAGGGTCGGGGTGTCCGTGCAACTGAGACGCGCAACGCTCGCAAGGATTCGCGCTCCTTCCACGGACTAGTCGAGGGGAGTGAGTTCGGTTTGGATCTATCCTCTCCGGGGCTTCCGCGTTTGCATTTATACCTGGGTGACGCCCCCCTTTTAAATCGTCACAGCGCCACACAGCATCTCGAAAGCTCCGACAATTGGCTGCTGGGGCGCCACCGCCACG